TGATGATGATGATGGTGATGATGATGATGATGGTGATGATGATGGTGATGATGATGATGGTGATGGTGATGATGATGATGATGGTGATGATGATGATGATGATGATGGTGATGATGATGATGATGGTGATGATGATGGTGATGATGACGATGATGATGGTGGTGATGGTGATGGTGATGATGGTGATGATGTATTCTGGATGTAATGTCATTGGACGAGAGCAGGGCAGTAAAATTAGGTAAGGGCAGTGGTGTCATGATTTCAAGTTTTCTTTGGTTATTTCCTGTTTTATTTAGTCTTCCTCCTCTTGTGTCTTGTTTTGCTTCACTTCCTGTCTTTGTCTTTTTCCCTCCAGTTTTGATTGTTATTCTAGTCCTCACCTGTATTTAGTCTTTGTGTTTCTTTGTTCCATTTGTGAGTTTGTCCTTGTTCACATGTAGCTTTCTGCCTGCTCCTTCTTGTTTATTCTTTATTGTTTGGATTACTTTCAGTTTATAGGATTCGGATTTGTTTGGATTCATTGAATTATGTTGCCTGCTCCTTTTGACTTCACTGTTTTGGACTTCTACCTTAAGGATTTGTAAGTTTAGTTATGAAACTGCTCCTGCTCTGCCAGTCTGCATTTGGGTTCCACTTCTCATGTACTCCTCAACATTACTGGTAGATGGAATTACCGTCCAAGGTTAAAATATTTTAACTCTTTGCCGTCCTCCACAAGGGAATTTACAAGTGTATGTTACATAGCTCCTTTACACAACGAGAAAACATTCACTAATAAATTACATTAAAAAAATAATAGTTATTATATAATTGTATTTAATATGTTTTTATTTGCTTTGTCGTCCTGCCATTCTGTCAGACTGTTGGTTTTTCCCGTGTTTTGGGGAAGGGGCTGTCCATCTATCGTCTACCTGAATCCATGAGTGCAGCATTAGATGGGCAGAGGGCTGGTGATAAACACTGAGGCATTACATCTGAACTCGGTTCACTGCTTAGGTTTATGATTGGAGTAGTTAAAGGGGGAAGAATGTCAGTAAATGAACACAGAAAGAGGATTTTCAACAAACTGTTCCACAGATGAATGAATACATTATTATAAACATGAACTCACACTGACAGAGCTACACAGGCTGGTACAATACAGAGCATCAGACACAGAGTCAGATACAGAGTGGTACGACACAAACAGACTCAACAGTGTCTCACTTCACTGCAACTGAAAGTGACAATAGAAACCAGAACCTACAGTAATCTGTGGGTCAACAGTTAATGAAATTATAAAAGATAATAGACATGAAACAATCTACTGAAACAAAGTTTGATCTTAAAAACACTTTCTAAAATAATTTAATTTAAAACTTGATCAGCTGAACTAAGTCAACTGTAATCACTACGTTTCATCAGTGCATACTTCCAGTAATTTGGGGAAGACACAGTTGAAGAAGGAATGTATGTTGTCAGTTGTTAATCGCCAGTTATTATGCTGCTCTCACAGAGGGGGAAAGGGGCGGTGCTTAGGAAGGGTCAGGTGTTAATAAAAAATGACATCCTGGACCTAATTATATTTGAACTAATCATTCTAATCGTTTCTACTCTACATTCAATGTAAAGAGTATCAGAGAACCACGGTTACAACCTTCATCCCATTATTCCAGGTGTTCCAGGTATTCCAGGTACAGAGAATGCTGAGTACTGACCTGATTGTGATGTCACTCAGTTGGTTCACCTGCAAACCAACTGAATGTTAAACACAGAAATATCATGAGACAGAAAGACTCTGAGCTGCAGACTGACTCTTCTAACCCCGCCCCTTACCTGTCTGCCTGACTAACCCTATCTCAACTATCAAGTCTGCCTCTCCACCTTTCTGCCTGACTTACCCCATCCTGACTAACAAGTCTGTTTCTCCACCTGTCTGTCTCTAACCTGACTACCTGTCTGTGTCTACCTGTCTGTATGTTTACCTGTCTACTTGTGTGCAGATGGATGAGATAAAGCTGAAGGACAGAGCTGTCAGTGTATTGGATAAAGCCTTGGGGCTGCAGGCTGGACACGCCCACCGCCTCCAGCTGCAGACTCAGGCTGCCGAGCAGCAAATCGCAGCCCTGAGAGACGCACAGAGGGCGGGGCTAAACCACCCTGGTCAAGCCCCTAACTCCGCCCCTAACACTCCTCCTCACATTGTAAGCCCCGCCACTTCCTGCTTGCACTGCATGAAATAAATTCACTTCATGTCACTGTTTAACCACATGTTAACTTTTTGTGGTGAACTTTGACCTCTTTGACATCCAACTTCAGGCTCCGCCTCCTTCAGACTCATCATGACATCATTAAACACGTGACCACCACCATCCAAACAATTACGTTCTGGAAGTTTCCCAAAAAGAACTGAACTGATATATTTATTATCTGACTTACAGCATAACACTGAGACTGACTGCACTCCTCTTTACCCATCACTTACTGTTTAAGTATCCCTACACCTTGCGCTGTACAAATAGTTCCATTGCTGAACCTCATCACACATAGGACGTTGTGGTAACATCTTCATAATTTCTGGGTATCAGAGCTCCTGTCAGTGGGGGGGGTATATCAGGCAGACAGTGAACATTTGGTCCTCAGAGTTGATGTGTTAGAAGCAGGAAAAATGGGCAGCGTGAGGATCTGAGCCACTTTGACAAGAACCACATTGTGATGGACGACTGGGTCAGAGCATCTCCAAACCTGCAGCTCTTGTGGGGTGTTCCCGGTCTGCAAAGATCAAAAGTGGTCCAAGTAAGGAAAAGAACCGAAGACAGGTCATGGGGGGCCGAGGCTCATTGATGCACGTGGCTGCTCAGTGTATGTCTCTTTTTGTCTTTTCAACATAGATTAGCTTAGCACATAGCATATCTAAGAACAGGAAAGGATGAATCAGATCAGAAATCAGAAATACTTTATTGATGATGAAGTTGAAGTTGACCAAGGTCTGACTGAGGCTTGCTCTCCTAGCCCACACCTTCTGAGCTTCTATCATTCATTTAGAAACAGGCTCCTGACACTAACCGCTGATGATCACAGATACCCCATGTGTCTCTATAATAACCTTTAATAATAACATTTTATTAAACCAGGATCTGATCTGCCAGGAAATTATCAGTGTCTCTGTAACTTCCTGTAAAAACCAGTCTGCAGCCTCCTGATCTTATACTCTTTCATCTCCAACAAGCATAATCACTTTGGTTCAGGTCATTAAATCTCATTAGAAAGAGCCTTTAAGTTAATTTTCTTTCTGTAACTTCCAGGTTCTCATACATTCTTTATTATTTTTAACAAGTTCTGTCTTCTTTTGCACCTATTTGTTTCAGGTTCCTGTCTGTCTCTCTCTGACATTCTTGTCTCACAGAGTTCTGCATAACCTTGCTGTTGACAGAAACAAAGCAGAATGTTGTTTCATTGTCTGTCTCTCCTGTCTCTGTGTCTCTGTAGGAGACTTCAGGTCTCTGCCCAGACACGACACTAAAGACAGAGATGGACAGTCCAGTCCAGTCTCCAGCAGGATGGGGAGGTCATCTGTCAGCCCAACCATGATGCTGTCCGGAGGAGGAGGAGCAGGAGGTGAGTCAGTCCACAACAACAGTACAGAGATGTATAGAGGACATCAAGTTAATGTTTCAGAAGAGAATGAAGCAGGTTAATGTGAAGAGAGGGTGAATAACAGTTTGTGTTATTTATCTGCAGAATCAAAGTCTGCGTGTAAACTTGGTCGTTCAGCCTCGACGTCAGGAGTTCCTTCACCAGGTGGGACTCCACAACGTCATCTGCATGAGCCACATCACCCCGTCCTCAGCCAGGTACAGTACATGTAAAACACCTGTGTTTTTACTGCTTGTATACCTGTCTGTCAGTCTACCTTCCTGTCTGTAAAACACCTGTGTTTTTACTGCTTGTATACCTGTCTGTCAGTCTAACTTCCTGTCTGTAAAACACCTGTTTGTTTACCTACCTGTCCAACTGTCTATCTGTCCATGAGATCTCAGATCAGAAATTTAAACAGCAGTTTTATTTTAAATAGAAAATAAACTTTATATTTCACACAGGATTCAACTTCACTGATCGACAGATCGTAAAACATTTTACAGACGAACAGAAACTTCAATCATCAGCTGACTGACGTCTGAAATGTAAACATGTAAGCAAATAACCGTGCTACCATGTAAACAGTGTTTTCTTTATTATTTATTATTAATAATACATTTGTTCACAAGATCATTTGTAATTTCAGCTTTGCGTAAAATATTTGGTGTTTAAATGTTTTTATTGTTTTTCAACCCTTAACACTGACTCAAGTGAACATTAATGTGTATATATTAACAGTAAAGTAACTTTAATACTAATACTAACAAAATGTAATTATTGGTACTAACATTAAACTAACTTTACAACAACATTCAACTAACTTTATGCTAACATTAAACTAACTTTACACAAACATTAAACTAACTGTATGCTAACATTTATCTAACATCAAACCAATCAAATTTGAACTCACACTGAAGCACTTTAATAATTTAAATGTCATTAAAACAATAATTTCAATTATAAAATTACATCTTGAAAAATATAATAAATCCTCTAACCCCCCACTCATATACCTTGACTAAACATTAACATCATTGTACCATGCCCAATTGCCATTTAACTCCAGTCACTATACCATTTTACAGAGAATTAATACATTTTTAAGCATTTCTTTTTATTTGTTTGTTATTCTACCTTTTTTAAAATTTCTTCTGTTTCTTTTGAACTCCCTCGACTCATATCGATGTGAACTTACAAAAAATCTGTAACTTTGTGCGTAAATGTTTCTGACGATATTTAAAACATCAGACAGTGTGAAAACTCTTTTAATTATAATCTGCTTCTAAACTTTCACATTGAACTATCTGAATGTTAAACTGGACTGAATCAACTGTTGTCATAATTTAAGTGTAAGTAAAATCAGTGTGAACCAGGAATTATACTGCCAACCTGAGAGTGAACAATAAACTCTAGTCCATCTGTCTGTCTGTGTCTGTCTGTCTGTCTGTCTGGTTTCCGACAGCATTCAGCTCTGCAGTAAAAAACTGGATATAAAGTGAAGTAAGCCAATTGCAATGCATTTTACCATGAATGATTGAGTGATTTCATGTGGATGAATGGGCGGTGCCAGGATCTTAGTAGTTGCTATATGACTGCAGGAGTATGAACAAGCAGCCTGTGCATAGAGTTACATTAAGAGACAGGATGGCCTGGTGGTAAAAGAGACCCACCAGTGACCGAACGGGTTTGATCCCTAACCGTAACCCTAGTACAAAGAGGAGGGTGTGTACCAGCTGCGAGCTGGGGACTGGTATCACGTCTACGGTTGCCACCATCTTTTTCCTTAACTTGAATTCAGACCGTGCGTCCATAGAACATTTTTGGCCAGCACTCACATTATGTGCATTGCATTTTCAATTCAATTCGATTTTATTTGTATAGCACCAAATCATAACAAGTTTTCACACTTTTCAAATAAAGCAGGTCTAGACCGAACTCCTTATAACATTATTTACAGAGACCCAACAATTCCCTCCATGAGCAA